CCGACTCGACGCCTTCCGCTTAATAGCTATTAAAACGGGCACAAGTTATCTAGTCTCCGACGATTAGATATAGCCGACTCTTCTTATCGCGCGCGGCAATCTGTTTAGCAGAGTTACTAGGTTATAGCTAATATCCGAAGTCCTTATCCTTATCTAGCTATATATTATCGAGGAAGATGTCCTTTAGAACCTCCTTAGATCTAGCAATCGATACCTTATCGTTTATCGATAGCTTTATCGGGACGAGATTAGTAGCTTCTTCCGGGTCTATAATATCGATTATTAGCTATATAAAGCGTTCGGTTTTAGTGCCCGGACGGAGATACTTAGTACTAATTCCGAGTGCTATATCGAGACTCTACGTAATAGTCGACTAATATCGTATCTCGAAATCGTAACCCTCGAATATACCCTTTAGCTCTAGTCTAAATACGATACCTAATGCCTAGTCGATATAGTATAACGAGAGGTGCTTACGGGTTCTATGCTTCGCGTCCTTAGTAAGATTTCCTAGGATATGTTTATAGCTAAGCTCCGAGTTCAAATTAATTATATCCTTAGTTAAACCTTCTACTAGAATACGCTCGTTAATGCCGATATAGGAGGTGGTTATATTTAGCATCTCCGTACGGTTACCCTACTTCTAGACGCCCTTGCGATTCTTCTGCTTAACTAGGTTATCGTATACCGAGAAACTCCGCTTATCTCGAGCTATTACGATTACACGCTAGTCCTAAACTGCCTCTGTCTTCCGTATTAGTACCTAAATCGTACGAGCGGCACTAGACAGGCCTATATTGTTAATAATACTAATTATATAGTATAGCACACTACTAGTAACTAGGTATAGGCCGAATTGCTTACCGAATACGGAAGCCTTCTTTAAGGAGATCGAGCGAATAGCTATCTAGGTTATTACCGTAATGCGCTTGCGGAGGCGATCTTACTTCTATAGCAGATCGTTCTCTTTGTCGATAGATACCTTCTTGTTTAGAAGCAGCTTCCGTAGGAGACTAACCTATATTAGCGTAGTTTCCTCGATTATACTATACATCTCCTATATATTAACTTCCTGTATCGAATCCTCTAGCTTATATTAGTTAAAGAAGGGCTAACTAACAAGCTTCTTTAGTTCGTTGCGAATAACTCGAGCTAAGACGATATACTTATGTTTAAGGGCAGCTATAGACTAGCGGATATAGTTGCGATAAGTCCTATTTAGCTTCTCGCTATAACTATTGAAGATTATTATCTACTACTTAGGCGGGAGCCTAGTACGCTTTATCTCTCCGAAGATATTAACGTACTTCTGCTCGCGGGTACGACGCTAACTACGAACGCGTTAAGTGCCTCGAGTAGTCCTATTCTGTTAAACACGTCGCTAAGGACTAGCGGCGGCGGCGGCGGCTGCGGCTACGAGTCGAGTTTATTATCGAGTCTAGCGGCGTAGTAGTATAGCTGCGCTAGCATCTTCCGTATTTTCCTCGTCCGCGAGTTTATCGCTATTATCCTCCTCGACGTCGCTAAATAGGTCGATAGCCTCGTCTTCCTCGATAGGAGCCTCTTCCGCCTCTTCTAATGCGATATTATTATTACTAAGATTATTATCCTACTTATACGCCTCTAGCTCGTATGTGTCCTTATTAGCGACCGCTTATAACAATGCCTCTCGACGCGCTTCGTCTTTATTGCGCTTATTACGCTCGTTCTGCTAAAGGGCAAGGTCCGTATTAAGCGTAGCCTACATCTCCGCCTACTAATCGGAGTCTAATTTCATTTTAGATAGCGGCTCGGATAAGAGGTTAGGGTCGAGGTATAGCGGCGCTAGACCGGATAGCGCGTTAGGTAGGTTAGAGTCAGAGTTAGACATATTAGCGGCAATAATAGTGCTAGACGCGAGTGTTAGCGGCAGTACGAGTACTAGCGGTAGTGCGAGTGCTAGCGGTAGTGCGAGTACTAAATATAGGCAGAAGAACGTAGGAGCAGGAAGAAGAGACGAAGAAGGGCGTCCGTACTACTATTATACCTATAGCTTAAAGCGGCAAGGCTTTGTTAGTTAGACCCACTTAACTAAGGAAGTATAAAGCGCTTAGTTTACGACTTACGATTTATATACAAAGACAGCACGATTAGTCGCAACGCCGACAAGACTTCGTTAATATATAGTAGTAGTAGCAGTAGCAGTAGTAGCACCTCTACAAACACGAGATCGATTAATACGGCATATACGATATTAATTAGCGCGACAAACGACAACCTATAGGAAGCCGTATACGAGAATCTTCTACTGCTTAGCGTAGAACGGAGCGCAATTAGCGATAAGCATAATCTACGATAGCCTATAGTGCTAGCCTATAGTGCTAGCCTATAATGCTAGCCTATAGTACTAGCTTTTGTCGATAGATTTAAGCTAGCTAAATAGCCTCCGCTACTTAGACACAACACAACAATACTACGCTCTACGCATGTATCGCTCGCATTAAGGTAATCTAGAAATAGCCGCTCTACAACCTCCGCATTGTCGCTTATCGATATTCGAAGGTCTCAATTCTAGTAAACAAGTTAGCTTCGCTCGAGGGCTAGTATTTAGTAGGTAGGCATTAGGGACATACGTAGTCTATACAAACAGTATTTAGAAATAGTCGCTCTACAATCTCCTAGTCTTAGATGTATATATTTCGTATATTAGATATTAGGTAGTTAGACACTATACTAACCCGTCGCATACCTATAGCTACCTATGTTAAATATCACTTATTTTCTCAACAACTACGCGTTACATTTGAATACTATATATATAGAATAACTTAGAATTGACGGGACAATAAGATGCGAGTACTAAATTACGAGATTTTACGCTAGTTAATAACCTAGTATTTTTATAAGGACTGCCTCTATAGCTTTGCGACATTTGTCCTTAGACCCTTGCTAGCGCAAGGAGGTTAGTATAGTAGTGTAGGTCCGGTCGCGTAGTAGTCCGATATAGATTAGTAGTAGTAGTAGTAGTAGTAGAAGGAGCATAGTAGTAGAAGGCAGGCAGAAGACCTACACCTACTACACTTCCTTGCGCTTAGTTAGCAAGGGTCTAAACCGGAGATAGGGTTTAGCTAGGCGTACGATGATAGTTTAATAGCCGGCTAGGCTAGGCGTACGATAATAGCTTAATAGCCGGCTACGAAGGGTTTAGCTAGGCGTACGATAATAGTTTAATAGCCGGCTAGGCTATGCGTACGATAATAGCTTAATAGCCGGCTACGAAGGGTTTAGCTAGGCGTACGATAATAGCTTAATAGCTAGCTAGGCTAGGCTAGGCGTACGATAATAGTTTAATAACTAGCGTTTGTATGAATTCAGAGCGCCTAATACTAAAGGAGGCCTCCGGTAATTTTAATAAAGAGCTACGTCGGCTAACGAGCGTAGAGCATATTCTAAATAGTCGTTGTAATCATCGTGCCGAAGAGCTTTTTAAACTAGCTATAGCCTAATACGAAGTCCTTGCCTATGCCTCTTGTCGCTAGCAATTCTAGCCTTAGGCATTTAACTAGTAGCAGTCGGCGGCTATTACGTTGCGTTAAAAGTGCGATAATGTATAGCCGTTATTATTGCCTTGCTATTATAGCGTAAATAGCGCAATCCTATTAGTGGAGGCAAACCTTACCTACGAAGCGCTAATATAGACCTACGCTTCCTAGTTTAACTTCTTCTTCTTCTATATATACTAATATACTAACACCCCTAGTAACATACTAGCTATTAGCGTATATAATAGTGTGCTGCACCATCACGATCTTGAAAGAACGGTTCATGTTGACTGAAAGTAAGAATTGCAGCTACATCTGGGACAGAGCCGCTTGTCTAATAGTTAAGGTTCCTCGGCAGGTAGTTTGTTTAGTCCTTTTAGTCTCCGATAGGCTTTGTCGACGCAAGACGTTGCGAAGGCGACTCTCCTAGCGAGTAGGTATACTATAGCTTTAGCGGGCGTCGACTACGTATTTAACCGAAAGAGCATAGTTTTTATTAGAACATCGCAGTCTTAGTGCAAACTATAGAGGTCTTAGATAGATTGGCGGAGGTAAAAACTCTTTAGTAAGGTACACCTATAATACGGCTAACGGTCTAACTCGGTAAAAACTCTTTAGTAAGGTATACCTTAAGTAGCGGCTCGATAGCGACTCTCCTACTAAGTAGGTTAATAGGTTCGTAGCATTGCTATAGGTCTAACTCGGTAAAAACTCTTTAGTAAGGTACACCTTAAGTAGCGGCTATAGGCTTCCTACGTTCGGATTCTTTATAAGATAATATACGCGCATCTAGTTAAGTCGGCGTAACGCCTTCGTTAGGACTATTAGTTATAATAACCTTAGTACGTAAGGGCCTCTAGTGTACTTAAGCCCGAAGGCGCTTAGTCTTAGTCTTTACTACTATACGACTGTAGCTACTACTATACGACTATAGCCCTTTGTGTATTAAGACTGTTATCCGACTATAGTGCGCCTCCTCTTCTAGCAAGCGCATTAACATTGCTATACGACTACAACGCGCTCAACAACCTTTTTTTTCGCGGTGTCTCTAATACTAAGGGCGCGGTTACACTCTATTGTTGTCTAGGTACTAATAAGTGTCGCTTTAGCGATCGCTGTCGTGTTTCGCTTAATAAGTCCCTTTCTATATACCTCGTACTATAGTTGGTAATAGAATACGTTAATTGTTGCGCATTGCGCGTAGTATATAGGCTATATGTAATTCTAGTATACTTCTAAGTGTATGCTTCTATAGCCGCTTAGTACCGCTAGTTAATTAGATCCCCGGACGCTACTATTCGTTTTCTCTACCTTGTATAGTAACTAGTTATCGGAATAATCGTTCTAGGGAGAGTCTAAGCAATAGAGGGCGTTAACGTAAGAGGGCTATCGTAGCTTCTCGAAGAGTGCTTACGCTCGATATATATTATCGCCCTACGTATCTATCCTTGCCGTATATATTATAGTGCCTATAAGAGCATGCGGTGCAATAAGTATAGTGCTAGTCTCGCTAGTCTCGCTAGTCTCGCTAGTCTCGCTAGTCTCGCTAGTCTCGCTAGTCTCGCTAGTCTCGCTAGTCTCGCTAGTCTCGCTAGTCTCGCTAGTTTCGCTAGTCTCGCTAGTCTCGCTAGTCTCGCTAGTCTCGCTAGTAACTTCTCGCTAGTATTAGTAACTTCTCGGGTTTCGGAGGCTGTTCTTAGTGCCTAAGGCGGCTATCGTTATCGTATTAGACACTTTTGTTAGCGCTATTTGCTAGAAACGCGCTAAATCGACGTATCTCGCTATATTAGTAATACTGTTATAAAAGTCGTAAAAGTCGGTGTTGTAAATACGCGGAAGGAAGTAGCTATAACGTTTAATCCTACTAATTAAGCGCTCTGCTATACTAAATCCGGGGTCTTAGCGGGACTCGGCATCCTTGTCGCTTCCTCGCATTTACGCTCCTATATGCGATTTTTACGCTCCTCGACTAGCTCCTATATACGATTTAACTATAGACACCTACGACTATCGATACCTACGACTATCGATACCTACGACTATTTATAAGGATATAATTAGCGAGCCTATAAGGACATAATAGAAGGGTAGTAAAGAGCCTGCTTAGCGAGCCTATAAGGACATAATAGAAGGGTAGTAAAGAGCCTACTTAGCGAGCCTACAAGGACATAATAGAAGGGTAGTAAAGAGCCTGCTTAGCGAGCTTATAAGGATATAATAGAAGGGTAGTAAGGAAGGACCTTATTAAATGCTAATTCTAGCGCCAATTCTAGCGCTAGCTCTCGCAGAAGCAGCTAAACTAGGCATTACACGCTAGCTCTCGTAGAAGCAGCTAAACTAGGCATTACACGCTAGCTCTCGTAGAAGCAGCTAAACTAGGCATTATACGCTAGCTCTCGCAGAAGCAGCTAAACTAGGCATTATACGCTAGCTCTCGCAGAAGCAGCTAAACTAGGCATTATACGCTAGCTCTCGCAGAAGCAGCTCAACTAGGCATTACACGCTAGCTCTCGCAGAAGCAGCTAAACTAGGCATTATACGCTAGCTCTCGTAGAAGCAGCTTAACTAGGCATCCTATATTATACGCCGGCTCTCGCAGAAGCAGCTTAACTAGCTCTCGCAGAAGCAGCTTAACTAGCACTCGCAGAAGCAGCTTAACTAGCACTCGTAGAAGCAGCTTAACTAGCACTCGTAGAAGCAACTCAACTAGGTATCCTATATTATACGCCGGCTCTCGTAGGAGTAGCTTAACTAGGCATCCTATATTACACGCCGGCTCTCGTAGAAGCAGCTAAACTAGGTAGGGTTAGCGGCGATAGCTTAGTGCTAGGCCTGCACTCGTAGAAGGACAAGGACTTAGCGAGCTTATAAGGACATAATAGAACGGTAGCTATAACGGATCTTGTTAATACCAACTCTACTACTAACTCTACTGCTATTTCCAGCGCCATTTCTAGTGCTATTTCTAGCGCTATCTCTAGTGCTAATTCTAGCGCTAGCTCTCGTAGAAGCAACTCAACTACCTGCTCTCGTAGAAGCAACTCAACTAGGCCTACTCTCGTAGAAGCAACTTAACTAGGTATTATACGCTAGCTCTACTATACGCTAGCTCTCGTAGAAGCAGCTTAATAGCTCTCGTAGAAGTAGCTCAACTAGGACACCTACGACTATTTATAAGCCCTATTAGCAAGCGCGTTAATAGCTAAGGCAATATGCTCGACTAGACTTTGTTACGGAGAGGGATAAGGTCTTTAATAAGCAAGGAGAGTCCTTAGATTATGTCGTCCTGCTCGAAACAAGCCTACTTAGCGAGCTTATAAGGATATAATAGAAGGGTAGTAAGGAAGGACCTTATTAAATGCCAATTCCAGCGCTATTCTAATGCTAATTCTAGTGCTAATTCTAGCGCCAATTCCAATGCCAATTCTAGCGCTAATTCTAATGCTAATTCTAGCGCTAATTCTAATGCTAATTCTAGCGCTAATTCTAATACTAATTCTAGCGCTAATTCCAATGCTAATTCTAGCGCTATTCTAGCGCTATCTATCTCTTCTTACGACGAGTCGGGCTCTCCTCGAGCAGATTCTCCGGTAGGATATCCGCGCTAATAAGAGCAAGGTTCTCTCGTGCCTTTAGAGTTAGCGATAGTATACGACGCGGGCGATTGCTTATAGCCTTACGAAGAGCAGACTTAGCGACCGAGATTAAAGTGCTATAATTACTGTCTTTATCCTCTCGCTAGCGCCGGCGGCGTAGTGTCCGCTATATTAGTATACGAGTAGATAAGGCCGTAGCACTATTATCCTAGATTAGATCTCCTATATACTTGCCTTTCGCCTTTAGTTACGATTAAGACTGCTTCCCCTTTACCTTCCGATTACCTGCGATAGCTTTCTTTACTAGCGATATATTAGTATCGCGAGACTTGTCCGAATCCTACTATAACTAGCGAAGACGATCCTAGGCTATAGGCGGAGGCGGAGGCGGAGGCTAGTCGTCGCTATTGTCGCTAGTTACTACCTCTACGGCCGTCTTTCGCTCGGCCTACTTACGCTTCCGCTCCTTATAGTACTTCTACTAGTCCTTAAATGCCTTAGGAAAGTCGTAGTTAATATATCTAAGTACTTTACCGAGGCGAAGCTTATTATAAAGATTATTACCGCTAGCCTAGTACTAGTTGTCGAACTTTAGCGCACTCTTAAGCATTTCCTCCCTATTTATACTAGTAGACTGCTCTTCACTATCGCCGAGTGCTAGATGCCGTATAATATTATAGAGGTCCTAGATATATCGGTCCTCGATAAGGGTATTCGATAGAAAAGTAAAGAAGTACGTATCAAACCGGCCGCTAGCTTTATTAGCCTTCCGGTCGAAGAACTTCTATAGGTATAGCAGTAAGAAGTACTGCTTAGAGCCCTTATACGGTGCAACTAGGGCTTTCGGTAGGCGTAGTACCTATTTATCCTACTAGAATACCGAATCTAGATCGCGATTATAGACAATGTTATAGCAGTCCTTCGAATCTAGGCTCTCCTTAGGATCCTATAGTTAGAGCTCTTCCTAGTATCGCTTATTAAGGATAGTACGTAGGCATCGAGGTGTCGCTATATACTAGCTATTAAACAATAAGCGGAAGATGTCGGGGATCTTGTTACGCTTTTCTATATTATTCTTAGACTAATTCTTGCGCCTAGGCGCATTAGTATTAGCATTAGTATTACCTGCTTCCTAGGTTTCTAGTATAGCAGCTATGCCTATGCCCGTACCTCTCGGAACGACAATAGTATCCTCGTTATCCTTATCCTAATCTAGGTCTCTATTAATATCTTCGCTAGGGATCTCGGTATTACGTAGACCGCTTAGTCGGATCGGCTAGTATACAATAGCACCCTATGCGAGATTCTTGTATTAGTCCGCGTTAGCCGGTCGACCTTCTCGATTAATAATAGAGGCATAGTTAATACTATCTAGAATACGCTTAGCTGCATCGTCGATATACTAAGGGAAGAAGAAGATAGTATATAACCGCTATCCTACGCTAAGCTTACGACTAGTACGACTAGCTCGCTATATAGCATCGTCGATATCCTTCGTAATAGGCAGCTACTATATAATAACGAACTTGATATCGCTAATGTTAGTGCCTATAGCGATCGCTAGGGTACTAACTATAATGCGAGTTAATAAACGAGCGCTAGGCTTCTTAAACTCGTTATATCGGAGATCCTTATCGTAATTAGCGATATATACGGTATAGAAAGCGACGACTTTGTATACATTGTAGCCGGTATTGTTCTAGGTATACTTCTTAGTTAGATCTTCTTAGCCCTCTATTAGCTAGACAAGCTACTAACGCAGAATATAGGTTAGCTTATTAACCTTTCCCCGGCTATTAATAAACACGATCGCCTTATCGATATTCGTAGGTATAGCTTGTCTATTAGTAACGGCCTTCTTTAGCAATAGGTATAGCAAATCGAAGTCGCTACTATACTTCTACGGAATAGTCTTAAAGATATATATAGTATCGATCCGATCGATGCTCGTACGGATAACCTTAGTCTTAAATGCCTCGCGGCTATTATTACGGAAGCCTCTATACTTTAAGACAAATTCGAGTATCTCCTAGGAGATAGTCGTAGAGGCACCTAGCTATAGGGTATCATTGCGGAACAGGCTATAGAGGGTATATATTTAGGCAAATTCCTCGCGGAAGTCCTTCTATTTATATACTAAGTGCAGCTTATCGATAGTAATAAGGCTAATGCGATCGCTAATCTTCTTAAATACCTCTCGCAATTCCGGAGTAGACGCCTACTCTAGACTATAGAAGATATAGTAGTACTTGCTAGTAACGATATTATCGTATATCTTTAGGTCCTTACGCTTAGTCTTAGTAGAGATTATACAGTAACGTACTAACTCGACGTTTCCGGTAGTAACTATAGACTTCTAAGCAAGCGTACGTATCGTTTAGTCGATATTAGCCTTCTACTCTTTACTAAGGCGGTTTAGAGGGATAATCTAGATATTAATACGACTAGTTAGTATAGTATATGCCTAGTAGACTAAGCTCTTACCGCTACCGGTCTTCTCGATTATTACTATATCGGTGCCCGCGAAAACTAGGTTATATAGTACCTTACGCTAAAGGTCCGAAGGTATATAGCCCTTATTAGGATAGAATGCATTTAGTACCTACTATAGGCTATTCTTAACAATGTCCCGCTAGAAGGGGATAGCCTCTCGCTTAAGACCGGCATCCTATATTAATATCTAGATTTCCTCTAGATTAAATAGCTTGTCGAGCATATAATTAGTCGTAGCCTAAAAGAAGGCGGTCTTCTATTATAGATCTTAAGGAAGCTCTAGCTTCTCGGTAGACTAGTTTAGCCGCTAGCGAGTATAAGCCTTACGAGATAGAAGAATTAGTACGGCTTATAGTAGGGTATTCTGTATGCCTTACTGCTGCTGCTATTAATAACGCTAATCGTATATCTTAGCCGGACGTCCTACTGCCTTCTTACTAACCTAGGTATACTACTGCTACTACTACTACTACTTCTTCTGTTTCTGTTCCTTACGACGGCCTTTGCTAATATTAAGGTTTCTCCCTAACTAAAGGAAGCTACCGCCTCTATAATAGACTAGATCTAGAGCCGCTATACGTAGAGGAGGAAGATTAGAGGGATTATTATATTTAACGCCTTCGACAGTATCGACGTCCTCCTAATTTAACTCTATTAATAGTCGCGGCGGGCCTTAGCGAGCGGCGGCACGTATCGACTAGCGATAATCTATACGCTATCTACGGACTATACGCTAAAGACTCTAGCCTTTAGCCTAGCGCTCGATCTATCGCTAGCGGCGCTACTCCTCGAGGCGGATATTGCCCTCGAAGCGGTCGCTAACAATAGGCTTATCTAGATCTTAACGTAGCGTAAGAGTGCTATCGCTAGTAGCGATATAGGCCTACTAAGGAACCTCGATAGCTTCCTCGGTATCTATGCGAGTAGTGGATGCGAGTAGTGGATGCGAGTAGTAGATACGAGTAGTAGATACGAGTAGTAGATACGAGTAGTAAATGCGAGTAGTAAATGCGAGTAGTAGATACGAGGCGGAAGAAGCTAAGAGCAAGAGGAAGAAGAAGAAGAAGAAGAAGGGCGGCAGCCCGCTATTATACCCGTAGCTTAAAGCGGCAAAGCCCTATTGCCTTTAGGCCTACTTAAATAAAGAGCGTATAAATAAGGCCTTTTTTTCGAATTACTAATAGCGACACACGACACACGACACACGACACACGATACACGATATACGATATACAGAGACAGTCTACCTTAACGCGCATCCGAAGCTAAATAAGACTGTGTTTTACGAGGTTTCTTAGCGCGACAAACGACGGCCTATAGGAAGCCGCCTATAGAAGGCCGCCTACACGTAGGATCTTCTATCGCTTAATGCACAACCGAGAATAGTTAGTAGACAATATGCTAGTGCTAGTGCTAGTGCTAGTGCTAGTGCTAGTGCTAGTGCTAGCTTTTAGTGCTAGCTTTTAGTAATAGCTAAGTAACCTCCGCTACTTAGACACAATATAACAATACTACGCTCTATGCAAATATAGCTTATATTAAAGTGATCAAGAATTGGCTATTCTAGAACCTCCGAGTTGTTACTTGTCGAGATCCGAAGGTCTTATTTCGAGTACCTAGCTTAGCTCCGCTTAAGAGCTAGTAGATAGTAGGTATACATTTTCTCGATATATAGCTTATACAAACAGTACTTAGGATTAGCCGGTCTACAACCTCCTAGTTATAGATGTATGTATTTCCTATATTAGATATTAGGTAGTAGCGCTCTGCAACAATCCGTCGTATACGTATATCTACCCGTAGTAAGGATTGCTTGTTTTCTTTATAACTATACGTCGCATTTGAATATTATATATATAGAATGACTTAGAAATAGTAGGGCTACAACATATATGCATCAAATTATAGTATTCTACGCTAGTTGGTAATCTTTTATTTTTATAAGGATAATACTATAGATTTAGCACATTTGTCCTTAGACCCTTGCTAGCGCAAGGGGGTTAGTGTAGCTAGGTGTATAGGTGTGTAGGTCCAGTCGCGTAGTAGTCCGATATAGAATAGTTGGAAGGTGGAAGGTGGAAGGTAGAATATAGAATAGTTAGAAGGTAGAAGGAGGTGGTTAGAAAGAGCCCACCACCTGCCACACTAAAAACCTCCTTGCGCTCAAACAGCAAGGGGCTGAAACGGAGATAGTATTATACAAGGAATTTCTCTTCCCTGCGGAACCTCCAAAGCCCACACCCCAGCCGACAGCAGTTGCTCAGATAACCGTACCGACTCCATCGCCAAATCTGTCACAGAGCAAAAGCGCAACGGCGGTACAGCTATGAGCATCACCCAACGATCCGACTACGAAGCCCAGCGTTATAGGCAGTCCTACCGATTCGACTTCTGGAGATGACAGCGAGACTATTGTGCTACCACTCGATGGCTCGACAATCCTCGCCTCAAAAACGGTCGTCACAGGTGATGATGGAGCAATGATCACACAGGTAGTTGCTGCTGGACAGACAACCCTGGCCTCTGGAGCCGCTGCAATCATTGATGGCTACCTCGTTGCCTTCGAGTCCGGCCACATCGTCATAGACGGCAGAACCACTGAATACTTCGGATCGGGAGCCACATCGAAGCTTGAAGCTGTTGCAACTCTGCACTTTGCAGAATTTTCTGCTTCTGAAATCATCACGACCGATAGGAGCGGCCAAATCAGCACACTTGCAGTTATTGACGGAACAATCGTACATCTGGGCCCGACAGCGTCACATCATCGAATTCCAGCCAGATAAACTCACCGTCGATGGATCTAAGACTGTTGAATTTACGGCGCTTGCTTCAGCTTTCCCAAGCGTCGCGACTTTGTCAATCACTCCCTCCCTCACTCTCAGCGCTTTCGAGACAGTCATCACCGGTAGTGATGGCCACACCACAGAAGAAGCCATAATTGGCAGCGAGACACTCTTCGCTGGTGGTCCACAGATCACGCTTGATGGCGAAGTGATCAGCCTTGCAAGTGATGGCAACCTCGTTGTCAACGGGACCGAGACGATTGAGTTCTCTCCTGCCAGAAACAGTGCTACCTCTAGCGTGACGAGTGGCAACGAAATCAAAGCTACCTCAAGCTTTGTCCATCCTGCGACAACTGGCACTTCAATTGGAAGTCCTATTGGCAAGTTCCCCGGATACTCTTTGCTCATCGCCTATCTCGCAATTAGCATCTCAATCATGCTGTAAATGCCACTTGATATATTCCCATCTATGCTCCAGCATCCTCAAGAACCATCCTCGCCGCCTTCTCCCCAATCGCATAAACCGTAGCCTGTAAATGCGCCGAAATCTGCAAAGGCATAACACTAGCATCCACAACCCTCAACCCCCTCACACCAAACACCCTCAACCTCGAATCCACCACCCCTCCACTCCCCACATCCTTCCCCATCGCACACGTTCCCACCGGATGCCAATCCGTCGTAACATTCCCCAAAACCCACTCCTTCCACTCCTCTGTCGTCACATTTTTCGGCGGAAAAACTCTACCCCTAACAAAACGCTTGAGAGGTTCCGTCTCGAGAATCTTCTCCCCAAACTCCGCTCCACGCATCAGGATCTCAAGATCGATGTGTCCCTCGTTTTCGAAATACTGCGGATCGATCACCGGATGCTCGGACGGAGCTGCAGGATTTATATGAATGTTCCCGCGCGAGAACGCGTACTGTAGAATTTGTAGGAGTGTGGCATATTTTTTCCCGGGAGAGACGGGTGTGAGGGGGTTCCAGTTCCCAACGTCGAAGATGTATTCGATGTAGCCGTGTTTTGATGAGGGGTTTGTGAGGCGGTGTGCGAGGGTTTGGGAATGAGGTTTTGTGGCGAGGGAGACGAGGGATGCTAAAATGTTTTTGTCGGAGGGTACGAGGGTTGAGAGGGGGATGTAGGCGAATGAACCGGTGAGTCGGGTTCGAAGCCCGCTGCGCTTTGTTTTGTATTCGTGGCCTGCTGCTGTGGCTTTTTCGGGATCGTTGCGTAAGTCATCGGGTGAGAGGGTTGAGGGGTCGATTTCGTAGATTGTTGCGGTCACTGGAGGGATTTTTTTGTTAGTGAGATTATCATTGAATGGAATCTGCTCCGTACGGACTTACTGAGATGATCTTGCAAGTTCTCGCCCACATTCACATTTTGGACTTTACACTCAATCCCAGCGTTTTGCAAGATTGCAGCGTTGCCGATTCCAGAAAGCTCTAAAATTTGAGGTGAATTGACACTTCCTGCAGACAGAATCACTTCTCTCGATGCGAGAACGGTGTGATAGGAACCACTATACTCAAACTCCACCCCCTTAGCTACCCATTCCCCCTCCACGCTCTCAATAACAATCTTCCTAACACTCGCTCCACCCAACACCGACAAATTCTCCCGCTCCCTCGCCGGCTTGAGATACGCAGAAGCCGCATACTCACGAGTCACAGTCTCAGGGTCCACCGCACTACAACTCGTCCACGCCCCGATATTCGAACCCGACATCGGTTTCTCATTCGTCTCTACACCTAAATTATTCATCGTCTCGTGCCAGAGTTCATGAGCTTCGGAGTACTCCTTACAGAAAGAAATCTTAACAGGACCGTTTTTTCCATGGACTTTTGCGTCGAAATACTGTTTGTAACGGGCTTTGGTTTGAGGAGAGGGTTCGATGAAGTGCTCGGATTTTTTGTAGAAGGGACTAGAGGGATAGTATGTATGTTAGTAGCAGGATTATTTATTTTATTCTCTCAGATTTGGGGTTTTCCTTTTTTTTCACTTACAGCATCCCCTCCCACCCCCACCCTTCACATCCCAATCTCTCCCAAGCATCGAGATCATCTCTACTCGGTCGATTCCACGTCATGAAATTTAGAGCGCTAGATCCTCCTAGAGCTTTGCCTCGAGGCCATGGAAGCTTTCGATTGTTGAGTTGTTTCTGTGGTGCTGTGGAGAATTTCCAGTCGTATTCGGTCCCGATTCCATCTCCGAAGTTTCCGGGCACGCTGACTGCGGGCGTGTTTTCTGGGATGTCATAGCCGGCTTCGAGGACTCCGATGTTGAAGGTGCGGTTCTCGCTTAGACGGGCGGCCATTACGAGGCCGGCAGTGCCGCCGCCGATGATCAGGTAGTCGTAGTGTTGTGATTTGAAGGCGTCTAGGTTTGTGTCGTCCTGGGTCATCTTGTGTAGGCGCTTGAGTTTCTCGATAGGATAGAGTTCTCCAACAGGTCAGTGGTTTGTGTGTGGGTCGATAGCGGTCTCTTGAGTGCTCCTATGCCTTGATCGCTGCTGTGAGTCTGTATGCGTAGATGGCTGTAGACTAGATCTTAAAACGGGCAGCTGTTCGTGTAGAAAGGATACCTGTAGGTTAAGTTGTTCCTCGTCAAGTATAAGTATCCATCAATCGTAGTTCGTCACCGACTGTGCATCTCAGCTTCCAAAGGCTATCGTAGGATCATCTGAGTACGAAAACGAAGCTATAAGCACTGTCAAGCTCGGTCCCAGTGGTATCTTGGCGCCTGTAGCTCTACTGCAGTTCAGCTAAGTGGGTCTGGACTGATAGCTCTCCATATAGGATCGAAGAACAGAGCTGCTGGAGGCTTCAAATCAGCGGCCAGCTATCTCATAACTGCGGAGAACTCTGCAGACGCCTAGAATACAGTCCGAATCGGTGTTCTGGCCTGCCTCAAGATCACTGTCTTTTGTGTCCAGCTCATTGACGACGTGGTTCGATCATTCCTCTCACCGAGGGCCTTGTATGGAGTCGCAGATGTGCACGCAGCTTCACTGGCTTGAGAACTTCAGGACGACCGTAACTAGACTTCCTGGATTCAATCTTCCTCTGCGTGGGAAATATGTCGAAGAATGAGGAGGAGAACGATGTTTGAGGTGGAGGAATGTCTTGGCACTCCGCTCTTGGCCTTTTCATCGTCATTAGTCCTGCGGTGTTCAGACGATTTAACAATACAACCCTCTGTACTGTCAAATCGGCATTATCTAGACAACCTGCTACGATCAAGTAGGATCTGGACGCCGCTCGAACTAGGGCCATGTTCGTCGAGAATACCGCACGATCGGCCATGAAAACATTACGGAGCAGCAGAAAGAGCTTGGGAGTGAAGAGAGAACTGTCAGAGCTTGGTCACATGGAAAACGAATGATATTTATTGCAATGGACACACATACGGCTGAATCGCGTACCATGCAGTTCTGGTCATGTTACACAAGCGGAGAGCGACTCTGTGGCTCGCGACAGACCACTGTCCAGAGTACGTCGTGCTGTCATTCGTGTTCGTGAAGGCGAGTCCTACACGTCGCCTCTCTTCGCTACATCGCCTGCGAATCGCGCAACACAGAGACTCGTTCAACGTTGGCACCATATTCATTGTCATCTTGCTGTCTGACAGATTGCGTAGGGCTTCTGAAGATGACACGGATACATCTCAACCAGCCCAAGTAGCCATGACCAAGCCAGGAGCGTTCAGCACGAAGAAGCAGAAGAGTGAAACGGCGTCTCGGATCAGGACTCTAACTCTCTTGCCGGACAGACTCCACCCAGTACACAAAAGAACCGTAAGACTTCGGAATATCAGGAACTCACAGATGCTGACGAGAATGCTAATACAGAGTCCACTGAGACTACGGACACCGAGAAGAATAGTAGCAACCGCAGCAGCGGGAGTGGGGATAATGACAACAGCAAGAGCACTACCGACAAGAAGCACCACAAGAAGCCTTACTGGGCTCAATTTAGGTTCAGAGATATGGAGGCTCTTATTGTCCTCGATGTCTTGAAAGTTGTTTGCTTTCCATCCAAACATCTCTCGCAGACCGGATCTGCTGACCTGCATCTGATATATAACTTTGTGAGTTTCATAGAGCCCTCTCCAAACTTTGAAATACGAAAGGGTGTAATCAATGTGTTTTCACGACTTGTACGGCATGCACTTACCCTGTGCTAGTAGCAAGGCGTCAAGGCTTGGCATTCACGAGCATCAAAGTTGTACTGGTAGTATATCAAGCCAACCTCCTCTTATAACCCCATCTCTTATAGAAGTTCAAGCTCAGAGTACGAATCTCGCGAGACCTCACAGATACCTCGAAGGCAGTTCTTTCTCGAGTAATATTCAGGCATCAAACCCAAGAAGATCATCACTATTATAACGACACAACCGCAATGCACGTCCACGACTCGAGTCTTCGCTATACCAGAGCTACTAGAAGCTATCCTGCTCAAGGTTCTAGGAAGTAAGCATATCGATCGCGGTAGTGGACATCGCGAGCGGATTACAGGCTATGAGGAGCAGGCCCAGCGAGCGAAGACTGTGCTTACCGCGCAACGCGTTAGCAAAGCGTTCCAGTCCTGCATTCTGGGCTTCCCAAAGCTACTTTGTCAACTTGGCCTGAAGACTCATATTGGAGCACATCAAGCAACCAGTGTCAACGCCTTGCTTGCCGAGCCGAAGAGACGGATCGCGCCATGGTTTTCTACAATCTCGATCGGCGGCCTCGATTGCTTCTATGTATACAACAACCATGCGAGCCTTTCAGTCTTATTCGATATTAGCGATGCGTATAAACTTCAAGACACTCTGAAAAACAATCCATCCTCATTACTCAGCATGTGGCTTCAATGCCCAATGCCCGAACATGTACACCTAAGCATTCAGAGCTATTATATAAGGCCAGAGCTTGCTCGCAAATCGTATTTGTAGAAAGCAGAGACCAAGGTCAAAGCTCAAGCCTTGGGAGTGCTGGCAGGCCTCGCTGCGAATCTGCAGGAAGCGGCTGAAGCGCTTGAGCGTGCCCGATCTCAAGAGGTTGACTACAAGATCAAGGTCACTGACTGGCAGGACCCTCTTGATAAGAGATTCGATTGGAGGAAGGGGTTCACTGCGGAGCAGCTTGTGATGATCGTTGAGGGCCCGAGGATCATAGTCAGCTAGTTTGACCTGGATACATGTAGCATGGTTCTTTTTCCCAGTGTCGAGGGTTGGATGCAAGAGGCTCTCTGACATAATGCTGAAGCACGGGAAAACCAGATGTGAGATCAAGCTTGCAATTGGGAGGAAAGATGGGAGTGCATGAAGAGACGACGTCGGAGATATCACGTCTCTAGATCCAGGTAGCGGATGCCTTAATGTATTTCTCTGCAGAACGTCTGCACACTAATCAATGGCACATAGACTTGTTGCAGCTTTGGTTGTAATTTCCTTTGAGCCTATCCCAGAATCGACGCCCCTTTTGGTATCGAGCCTGCACTGTTGAACAAAGAGGTTTCAGTGATTGTCCTAGACGCTTTGGGCAGCAAACAGCCTAGGAATACTTCTACTTCTCGGTTCGCTGCCTGTCTAGATACATTATCGAAATGTTATTGTTCTATGAGTCCCTCCATCGATTCACTCATAGCGTTCAATATGCCCTATTTATGCGCTATACTCATTCACTAGACATTACATCATCACATGCTATACTCGTTCACCTGTTCCGAGTGAATGGCCGCCACGACAGCCTTTATAAAGAGTTTGTTGGGTCTTCCAAGTTCTTCTTCTTCTCTTGCACATTATCGCAATCGCAACCTGTCTCTGACCAGAACCTCTCCCGCCTAAGCATTCAGTCAATCAAGACAGCCCGCCACTACGATACTTAGCGCTACGATGTCCGACAACACTTCCCCTATCGCGAAAGTCTTCGGCACATTCGAACTCCTCGAGCCCATCCTTCTCAAGGTGGATGTGTGCACCGTTCTTCTTTCGCAGCGAGTCAATTACTTCTTCAAGTCATGCATCAAGAAGTCCTCGCCACTGCAGCAAAAGCTGCTCTTCAAGCTGCCTGATCCTGAAGAAATGCCTGCGAGCCACCCTTACTACCTACGACGCAATCTACTCCTACGTGCCAAAGGCCCATACGTCCACATTCCGGGCCTACGGAGCTTCTACCTGATTCGCAGCGAGGCGACGATCGAGGACGAAGATATCCCAGAAGTAGAGTTCACCAATTTCAACCTCGAGATGCTCCGCAAGACTCTCAATACCTATCGTCCCTCGTTCCTCGACATGTATATCTTCCGGACTAAGATTCGCAAGGGCCTCCTTACTATTCGGAACGAGGACGCGAAGGCGGACTCCTCACGCATAGACTGGGACTTTGTCTAGGTAGAGGTGCTGTTAGAATACTCGGGAATGTACGAGTCTAGTTGGATTTATAAGCAAGAGAAGGAGAAGGAAGTTGCGAGGTCATTCACTTACGGCTTAGTAATAGCTTGTGATTCTTGGCGCTAGGGTATATAAGTAGCTAGTGAGTCCTTTGTTCGAATAGTAAGCAATTCTATCGGTTTACCGCTTATCTACAATAGTTATAAGCCCGGAACGCAAGTGAAGAAACAAGAAAGTTCGAGAAATTACCCGATCAGGCAACCCGCTTGCGCAAGGTTAAACCTTATCCGACGTTACTCCGCAAATCGAAGAAAGCGACCAACTTCGAACAACAATAAGATAACGGTTATTGCTCCGCTATAGACGCCGGTCTATAGGCGAAAAGAACCGATTAATACGAATCAAACGATCTAAAAATATCAACGATACGACCGTTACGAGTCGAGAAATCTAACGATAAAGATGTCTACTACCGAGACGACTATCGGCGCGGTAAAGGGAATTCCGCAACTTACTACCGAGAATTATACTATCTGGATCGATCTAATTCAAGACTATCTATCCGGACAAGGCCTTTAGAGGTATAGGTACGGTATACCGGAATCTATAAGCCAAGATACGGCTAAAGCAAGAGAGGCTAAAGAAGAAGACGCAAAAGCGGTTGCGTTTATTAAGTCTACGGCCGGGGATAAGCGTATACACCTCCTAGGACTACGTACGACTAAGGAGGTAATCGATAAGATAAAGGAAGTAAGCGAGGTATCGACAAAGGAACGGGTTTCGACGCTACTCTCCCGTTTCTATTCCTTTAAAGCACTTAAGGATATCGATACTACGGCTTCAGCTCTTACGTAAATCCAATCCGAGATTAAGGCCGCGGATAAAGACGAAGTTCCCTCGGAGGCCTCTAAGAAGGCAGTCCTTATTTCGTCCTTAGGAGAAGAGTATTCGTCTACCGTATTCGCCTTAAAGGCGGCCGGTTTATCTACTCTTTCCTACGAGGAACTAGTTCAGCGACTACGGGACGTTGAATATACTATTACTACTTCTAAAGGCGACGAAGTAGTAGCCCGATATACTAAGGAAGCGGCGAAAGATAAGGCCGGTAACGGAAAGAAGGGCAATACGACTAATACGCCTAATAAAGCTAAAGGAAAGACGTGTTACTATTGCCAAAAGGTCGGGCACTTTAAACGGGACTGTAGGAAATATAAATAGGACTAAAAGAACGGAAAAGTCCAGGAAAATAAGGAGGAATCTAAGATCGCGGCTTGGACGGCTATCGATTCTACGACTCGACTATCTAATAAAGGGGATTGGATCCTAGACTCCGGATGCACTAGATATATGTCTAACGACAAGAACTACTTTACGGACTATAAGGAAATAACCGGAAAAGTTACTCTAGCGAACGGTAAAACAATAAAGGTCGCGGGATCCGGTATAATCCTTGTCCGGTTTAAAGGAATTCCGACTACGATTCCGGACGTTATATACGTACCGGAGATCGGTTATAACCTGCTTTCGATAAGCCAACTCTCGGAACGAGGTATTACGACTCTATTTACTAAAGAAGGGGCTATACTTCGAAGAGGAAACGAAGAACTAGCAAAAGGAGTACGCGTCGGAAGGTCCTACGTTCTAAAGGAATCCGAGTCTATCGGGACTTCGAGAATAGCTACTACTACGACTAAAGGTACTACGCTACTTTAGCACCGACGCCTAGGACATCCGGGAGACGAAAAACAACGAAACGTACATAAAGTACTACTAGGAGTCCCGGAGCTTTCGACGTTAAATAAGTCTTGCGAGACTTGTATTACTACGAAGTCCGATAGACGACAAAGTCGAGAAGAACCCGAAAAGGCAGACTATTGCCTAGATAGGGTATATATCGATTTTTGGGGTCCGTATAAGTATAGTACCTTAGGAGGAAACAGGTATATACTAACGATTACGGACGACGCTACGAGACGGTTAGATATCCGTCTTACTCGCTATAGAAGCGACGTATACGAAGCCTTTAAGGCTTGGAAAAACGAGGCCGAACTCGAAACCGGGAGGAAACTAAAGGCCGTAAGAATCGATAACACTCCGGAGCTTATTAAAGCTCTTAAGGCCTATCCGGGACTACGAATCGAAACAACGACGCCCTATACTCCGGAACAAAACGGAGTAGCAGAGAGACAAAACCGTACTATTATAACTAAGGTACGGGCAGCTTTAGAAGGGTCCGGATTACCTAAATGATTTTGGGGCGAAGCGGCCTATACGGTTACCTATTTACATAATAGGCTACCTATTAAAGGAAAAGATATAACTCCCGAGGAGCTCTATACCGGAAGAAAGCCTAGCGGAGAACACTTACGGGTATTCGGCTGCCTAGCCTATCCGTTTATTCCTAAAGAGAAAAGGAAAGACAAGCTAGAAAAGACGGCATTCCTAGGAATCTTCGTCGGATATACGAAGTCTACGAAACAGTATAGGATCTATAATCCTAAGACGGACGCTATCGGGATCTATACTAGCGTTAAATTCGACGAATCGACTAAGGGAAGTAGCCTACTATCCGGAGAAGAGCTACCTACCCTACGGCCTATTACGGACAACGACGACGGAGATATCGATATCCTAGATAAAGGAGAGTCTCGAGAAGTAGAGGAAGTAGAGGGAGACTCCGAAGCCGAAGATAATACTACGAATATAAGAAGGGTATATTAGTAGGTAGATAGGGTAGTAGTAGGTACGAGTAGTATTCGATAAGGATCTAGAAGGAGAGGGAGGAAGGCAGGCAAGTTAGCCTAACGCTAAGCGCCAAGCCCTACCTAAGGCACCGAGACCCCGGCTTCACTCGGCCTAGCTATATACCAATTACGTATAGCCTCTTTAGCCCTAATATACGCTTCCCTTCTAAAGGCCGCGCCCTCGTAGCCTATCAATTTCGACCTCTATTGCTGCTAACTTAGCAAGTCTAATAGACTACTTAGCTCGCGCTAAATTGAACACTTAACTACCTAGTTATATAACTATATTAAACCTTACTTTCTAATATAACGTCTAACTCTAACTACGCTATCTTGTATATAATAAAGTAAAGGGATATAAAGCTACAAGAATTAAGGGCTATCGACTAATTACAATACGAGCGCGCCTTCCCTACTATAATAGGTAGGCGTACGAGGTATTGTAGCACTACCTCCGTTCTAAGTAATATCGTTCCGAGTTCTCTACGTCTACTCTAAAAGACCTAGAAATATCCGCTCCGAGGGTTTGTCCGTTCCGAGGGTTGTTCTTATTGTTACGAGGACTATTATTTACTATCGTAGTTTTACTAGCCCTAATTAGTTAGGTTTAGTAGCCTTCAATTGTCAATCTTATCTTATCTTTTAAAAACACAGCTCGTCTAGTTTCTATAGGTAAAGGCTATTATAAGTGCAGTAGTAGAGGTTCGCCTCGCTTAAAGGATTAGATAGATCGAGGAGTAACCTATTATCCGCAAGATCGACCCCGGCTAGCTTAGCTCTATAGTTTTGCCCTTAGTTAGTTAGTCTATTAGTCTACTCAATCTTTTAAGCGACTTAAAGTTTTAACTTAGCCTTAAAGTTTTAATTAAACCTTTAACAGGTTCAATCTTTAACTTAGTTAGTGCAGCGCCTTAGGCTCGTAGTGTAGGTAAGGTTGTATCTATAGGCGTAGTAATAATAGCAGGTAATGTTAATAATAGCGGCGCTAGTCGTCTTAGCGCTAACTTTACCTCGCTTCTAATCTTCTTCTTTAACTAATAACAACTCGGCAACACCGTTACTAATATAGCTATATCCTTCCTTCCTTAACTAGCGACATACCCCGCAACACTGTTACTAATATAGCCGCGCCGGCCGCGCCGATTACCTAGGCCTCGAGGCCTCGACAGAATAAGGGAATAAGAGGGGGACCTATAGGGCGCGTTAGTAAAGAGGTAGAGTCCTTAAAAGAGTAGGCAATTAGTTAACGCGTCGTAGCGCGCTTATTAACACTCGGTGCGCGTTTACTATAGTAGTATAGTCTTATTGTCCTTTGTTGCTAACAATTGCTTGCTTCTAATTAGTTAGCTAATAGTACCCCGGGGGTGGCATTAATCCTAGGCCTTAATAGTAATATTATAAGCTTTTGGCCTTCTTCTTGTTCTTTACGCTAGTCTAATACTTATCCAACAACTCGGTTATATCCTTAAAGGAGTTTTTAGCTTCCTATAAGTCCTATTCTAGTAAATAGCCTTACTATCTTAACAGGTACTCCTTCTTGCCTTGCCTAGTCCGATAGTTTAGGATACGTTCTATAGACTATAGTTCTTCGCTATCAGCTAAGACTTCTTCTAACTTAGCAGGCGCTTCATCGCCTTCGCGTTAGTAGTACGGTTTAAGGAGGGAGATATAGAAGGTATTATAGATAGTATAATAAGGTAGAAGCTATAACTAGTAGGCCTAGCTATTGCCCTTCGGTTCTCGGATACGGAATAGCCTAATATATCTTAGTACGAGCTTAGGCCTTGTTTTACCGTTAGGTAATAGGTGTTTGCGGATACGGAGGTTCTTAGTACTTAGCATAACTATATCGCCTTGCTTGAAAGTTATTAGCGTGTGGTGTTTGTTATAGTAGGCCTTCTAATATGCCTAAGCCTTCGCTAGTTTATTAGCTATCTTAGCGTAAATCTCTCGCATCTTTTAAACCCTCTCAATAGCCGCTAGTATCTTAGGTTAACCCGCTTCCCTTTCCTTACGCTCGGCCTCGAGCGATAGGTCTTATAGCATAGCAGCGTTCTAGCCTATTATAGCTATATATAGTAACACCTTGGTTGATAAGTAGACACTATTATTGTACACGAATTCTATAGGCTATAGGAGGTTAACCTAGTCGTTAGGGTTCTCGTTAATGTAACTACGCAGGTACTACTATAGGGTAGCATTCTGCCTTTTAGTCTAACTATCTGTTTGTAGATAGAATGCTATAGACAGGCGATG